AAAAAACAAAAAACGGTAGCCTGCTTGCCGAGTTCACGAAGTGAATTGGCTTATTTTACAACGTCGTTGCCAAGCGACGAAAACCCAACCCCGATGGCAAACACCGGGAGAGGGGGCGTACTCATTTGTTGCTTACCGTAGTAATTTGAGCATTGACCACGCGTCCCTTTCGAGAGGGAGCACCGTTCCTACCCCTTCTAGAGACAACACCAGCATTTGGGAGCTCTTTACGTTTCTACCACAAACTACATAAAATTTTCTCGCACATCTTATCCCCGTCCTCTACGGCCTCTTGTGCCCACCATCTATCCCCAATTACCGCGATCGTTTTTTTGCTTTTGTCTAATTTACCAAACTTGTCCATGTCACACCCTCTCTGTCTCATGTCCTCCTTGAGCTCTCTTTCCTTCCTGTACAGCTCACACTCCCCAACTATGTGGGGTCTACTCTCCTCCGATTTGCCACATGTACATGTCTGTCTATCCTCCTCTTCCCTCTCCTACGGCTGCTGTACCTCTTCCTCCGTTCTGGCAAGTCCAGATCGCCTACTCGAAATTGCAACTTCAGTTTTTTTGCGTAGTCCATGGGGCCGTCCAAGTAACTCTTCATCCCTATCCCTTCTTTCAACTTCCCGTATATCTCCAAGTGGTCTTCGCTTCGTACCTTCTTCCGAAGGGTTGCCTCCTCCCTACTTTCTAGCATCTCCTTGACTTTCTTCTTGAACCCCCCGAACCCTTCCGTGTCCAATGTCTCCTCCTCGTCTCCTATCTCCTTCCAAACCCTCTCTACCACCTTGTCCCATCTGATTCCTTTCTTCCCTGGAGTCGCTTTTCCCCAAGCTGCCTTGTCAACCATGGCTGGTAGTCTATCGTCCGACATTCTACTTACCTTGTACTGCCAATTCAACTTTTGCATGTCTCTCTTTGTTTTAAGAGAGTACATTCCCAGTTCTGCTCTCAATACAGTGTTGCTCGTTGTCCTTGAACATCCTTGTATTTTCTTGGCCGCTGCCATCTGCACCGTTTCCAGCTGCTTGACGGCCTTTTCGTTACCTTCCCATACCTCTCCTGCATACTCTAGCTTAGGTACAATCACATTCAAGAGAACACACCTCTTAATCCTAGTGTCTAGGTGTGGGTCCGTAAGGATATCGTCCATCTTGCCTATCTGAGCTTTACCCTTCCCAATCAACTTTGCTATGTGTGCGTCCCATGAGCACTCCTTCGAAATCTCTACTCCCAGGCACGTATACCTGTCTACTACCGGTAGTTCTTCCTCCCCCCATTTCCATTTGAATTCTACGGGATTTTTCTTGTCTTCGTTACAGACCACTACTGCGCATTTTCCTACGTTCGCCGACAGTCTCCATTTTCGGGTGTATCCTACTGCCGCATCTATTTGTTCCTGCAACCCTTCTGGTGTTTCGGATACCCCCACNCCGGGGGCAGCGGAAAGAGGTGCTAGTGGCATACTGCTGTCGCGTACACACACGAGTTTGTGATTTTTAGGCAAACGGCCTGTACGTGTGACTTCGCCAAATTCGAATTCATGTCCAAACGGTAAAAACGTTGCGAGGTTTTCAGTCAAAAGCCGCGACGTACCCCGGCTACATATTCTCTCGTTTTAAATATTTTTCTGCCCCACCCTACCGCCCCCCCCTCGGTGTTTGCCATCGGGGTTGGGTTTTCGTCGCTTGGCAACGACGTTGTAAAACAAGCCAATTCACTTCGTGAACTCGGCAACCAGGCTACCGTTTTTTCTTTTTATTACCTCTTTTTTTTTGTAACCATAATGGTGGTCGAGTAGATCATGTTGTGCGGGGTGGAGAACCCTCACTCCGCGCAAGGGGGATGATCGCACCACGTTGTGTTAAAATGGTCAAGCACCCTCGAGGCAGTTACACAGTGCTTACAACTGTCTCTGGAAGTGAAAGCACCAGAAAATAAATTAGGCCATACGCAGCTGTCATGCATACGCAAGGAAGTAAGCACGAGATGCCGAACACCCTTCGTAGGATGCAGCGCACCCTTGATGCGACTCGCCGGATATCTCACGGCGCTTCGCGCTTGGTGATGTGAGAGCCTGGTCCGGTGAGAACCCGGCGTGCTCCGTCCCGGCTTTGTAGGGATGCGAGGTCAATGGTCTAACGGCTACGGCATGCACGACTATGAGTACATCCCCCACCCTACATTGTTTCTGAGCTTGTTCATCTATAACTTGGTTTTCTACCCGAGTGGTGGGACATAATCTTGCTCTCTTGTTTTGTTCACTCTGCACACACTCCTTGGGTAGACTTTTAAAACTCGCAGGAAATTCCATCACTTTTCCTCCTGGGAGCAGAGGGAAGAAAGAGCAAGCACTGGATGGAAATTCAGAACGACCGATGTTTTCGAGGTGCCAACAATACCAACCAAGGTCAACAACCCAGCTGTCATTCCTCCTATGCGTCTCCTCCAGGTGAAGGTGTTGGGCCCGAACACGGGTGGTGTGCTGGGGCTGGATTTTTTGAACAGGTACGACCTCGACCTCAACTTCGAGACGAACGAGGCGAGGTTTTACGTGGCAGGCGCTGTCGACCAGGGGTTGGTGGACACGTCGTTGTTGGAGGGGCTCAAGTGCGGAAGCCTGCCGGGGGGAAAGCTCGCCATCAAGATGGAGCTGAACGGGTGAGCGCGGAATAGTGCTGGCGTCGCTTTTCTTGTTTCGAGGCTGGTACGTGCGTGGCGTACACCGACGCGGGTCGATCCTGCCGTCCAAGAGATGTGGTTTTCAGAAAACTATTTCGACCACGCTGGAGCGAAACGAGCGAGCGTATCAGCCATTGTGTCGCATCGCAATGCTACGACCAAGGCGTTGTGGCGGGTCGTTGGTGGGATTTTCGTCAAGACTCAAATCGGATACTGGGGAGTAAACTCGGCACGCGACCATGACACGTAGCTGTTAACTTGCCCGGTCGTCCCCTGCGAGCCGTGGGTTGTTTGGGTACTGTTGGAAGTCGAAATCAAAACCATTCGACTTGCCTAGCCTAATCGTCTCTTTACTTCGAACTCTATAGTACTCCCACGTTTGGGCGACGCAACTCATTCCCTGCTTTCCCACGGCACAAGACGCCACCCATCAAACAGGAGCAGTGTGGTTCCGGGAGGGGTGGCTGTGAGGGCGCAGCATAGCGAATATAGGGCTCCCCGCGTTCGCGTTGGTTTGGTCTACACAGGGCACTCTGTTTTGCTGCGATGGGACCCATTGCGTCGATGGGTGGGGTGGGGGGCTGGGTGGACTGCCTTGCATGTCTCAAAAACGTTTGTGGCGACCAAAATGCGTTCGTTTGGTTGGTCGTCGGGTACCGACAGATGCCGCACATGCATCTACTGTCCAGTTGTCTCGGTCTTTTATTTTACGCCACGGCACCCTGAACTTGGCGCGGTTGCAACAGCCAGTGCGTTCCCCCGCTCCCCCCCCCCCCCCCCCCCCCCCCCCCCCCCCCCCCCCCCCCCCCCCCCCCCCCCCCCCCCCCCCCCCCCCCNAGTATTTTGACACCTCAGGGTCTGTTTAAACGTAACAAGGTTGCACCTAAACTGAGACCTTGCAACAAACAAATTTGGGTGGGGGTGTGCCGGGGGCCAAAGACGCTGATGGGTCAATAGGAAATAAACAGGATGAGGCTCTCTCTGCCCGGAAAAACGGACTTTTCTGAAGCGTTAGCCTCAATATCATCGTTCGATATCCGTGGGTGGGTGGAACTTTCATTCGCACCCCCCACTCCTCGCCCGACCCGGTCTAAAATGCTGATCTCGGGCTACAGTGCAAATCTCGTGGCGCCTCAAGCATAGTTCGGTAGGGAATCACAAACCACGACCCCTTGCCGAGTTTGAGCGGTTTGCACCTCCTGTGGCCGACACAACTCGGCCCTCGCTGTTCCTTGTCGATTTCGCCATGGGAAACGGCTGGTTGAACAACGAAAGAGGGTCCTGCGTGCTGCGCGCCACAACCTTTTCTTTTTCGTTTGTGATTTCGTCCTGAGTGACCGTTGTACACAATACATGCGGCTGCTGCTGTACACATGCATGCGGTTGCTGCAGTATATGCTCGGAATGTGCTGCAAAGGTCGTAAGGTTTTCGTCTCTGTCGTTTTGGGCTGCACGCGTTACTCGCGTCTCTTCGTTATCCACGAAGAGCAACGGCAGCACAGTTGTAGAGACAAACAACAACAGACGGTCCGCAACGGTCCGCCATAGTTTTTTTTTTTTTTGCTGCATGCATGGATGGATGGGTGGTTTGCATCGTTAAGCGTGTTGCTGCCTTACCTTGAGTCTGCTGCGTTGTCGTAATTGAGCGATTAGGTAGATGGTAGCACAACCTTATATATGTATGTAGTGAGGTATCTCGCCTTTCGCCGGTGGGGTCCCAATAACATCGAACGTCAACCGCAGTCGTTTTGCTTCTTGCGGAATGTGAAGCGATGGGCGCTGCCTCTTTTATGTTAAGCAATGGACTTGGGTCCGCTAGTGTTTGCTGCATATGCAGTGCTATGTAAGTGCTTCCAGCGGTTCAAAGCGAGCGGGGACGACGACGGTGGTTTTTCTATACCCTCTTTTGCCTCCTCCGTGAAGCCTGTCGTGTCTGGCTCTCTTGTTCTCTCTTCGTCTTCCTTTTTTCTATCTTGCATGCTTTGTTTTTTGGGGTCCTCGGGTTCCTGTGTGCTCATCGGGCGTGTTCTTAGTGTCTACCTTGGTTGTTACCCGCTGAAGAATCAAAAGCTTTAGACAGGCACCGCGACGATACTCGTCGAGTTGCCACACACAATGACATTGGGTGCAGCAACAAAAAATTGCAAAGTGATATGCTTTTTGCTTACTCAAAAACCCAGTTGCGCGGCACCCCCTTTGCACCCCCGGTGATGAGCTGAACACGTTTTGGCGTTGCCCCTGACTGGACGGCATGTGGCACACTGGCCGTGCGGCACCCACACGTATCCCCCACTGCCCGCTGCTGGGAAATATTAGCTGTATTGCAATGATTCTGTGAGCGTGTAAACTTTTCGCGCTTGTTGGGTTGCTGTGGAGGTTGCCTTCCGTTTCCAATATGTGCGATGTCAAAGTTAGCGGCCAATTGTGTGCGGCGAGACAGTCCACATGTATGTTATCGAGCAAGCTTGAGGATGGGGCTTGGACCGCTGGCACCACCTGCTGATGCTTAGCTTCGTGTATGTGCTGATGTATTTGTTCTCACTCCCGTGTGGTGCACATGGTCTATTATCGCTCTACCTGGTTGGACACAACGTCACCTCGCGGCAGCGATTCCGCCGCATTTGGGTGCTCTTCTTCTTTGTATTTATTTTTCCTATCGTGGTAAAATTACGTGAGAATGACGCAAGCCCTTTTTGCCCAACAACCCAATTAGGTCCATCCGAATTGGGTCCTCAATATAGGTGCAAATTATTAGGGTTAGGACAGGCCCTTACTTGTCTGATTGATTATTGTCCCCCCGCCGGAGGCCGCGCCAACACGCCAATTCGTTTTTCTATTTTTTTTTCCTCTTGTTTGTCACTGATTCCCCTGCCTATTGAACAGCGGAGGTCCCTTCACGGGGGTGTTGGACCTTGCCTCGTCAACAACCGTCGGAAACTGGCTGGCTGCGCGAGATCTGGACGTGACTTCCATGGCGTCAGGGCAGAGCAGCAGCTATCCCCAAGAGACCGGGCGACCGCTCCCTCTCATGTGTGCCCAATTTGACACGGTGAGTCGAGGGCGTGGGTTCTTCTTCGAAAGGCTACTTGGCACTATCACCGGCTCTTTCATGCATCGATCCAATAGCGGTTTCGAGCGCAATCTCTATCATCGCATCCGACAAGTCTACGTATCTAGCAAGTGACCAATAAGCCGAACGCTGAGGGACAAGTTCGGCACCCGGTACATTTACGCAACACAGGAGACTCGGGGTGGGATGAGAGCACGAGAGATTAAAAAACGTTCGTGTTGATCACTCACGGTCTCGCTTCATTCCTGTCCTCGCCTCTGTAAGCAACAGATTTCCCCTCCGTCCGAAAAAAACACGACATTCAGATTCAGTTGGGCCACGTTTTGCTGGCGTCCGTCGTGGACGCCAAGACCGCGAGAGAGGGAAGGCTGGCGGTGTACGTAGGACACCTGCCCGTGTTCGACTCGATCGCGAGGGACATCTCGATCCGCGAGCCGCGAAGCAGGCAGCTGGCGCTGGTCGGGCAGGACCTCATCGGGCACACCCGCATCGTTCTCTCCTGTCGATCGAAGCGCCTGTACTTCGCCCCGCTGGAGGCGAACGACATTTGGGCGGGGCAGGTCGTGTGAATTGAGTTGTTGATCCCATTTTTTCGACCGATCCTGTTTCAAGAGAGGTTTGTTTTGTCGTTTGCTGTTTTTGTTCCGTAACGTGAGTTGGGTGAGTGGCTCGGTGTTGCTGTTTTTTTTACCCGATCAAGCCTTCCTTCCGGTGGCTTCCGAGGTCGGGCTGCTGCTGCTGCTCTCTTGTTCAAATTAGTAGCGCAAACCCTTGAATGGCGATTGGTTCTTCATTTGAACGATATGTAATTGCGACTGTGTGTAGACCATGTTACTCGTTTCGTGTAAATGCGGACGCAGGGTTGCGTGTTTGGTGGTTGGATGTGTGCGGGGAAGTGCAGAATTGTGTCACGCGTTGTCGAGGTGACGGCGGAGCGCGCATATGTGCACTGCTGTAGATGCGGGAAGTGTTGAGCTCTGTGTACACCATGAGCGCGGACGATTGAAGGTTGGTATCAGATGTACAAAGAAAGACAAACCTCTAGGGTTTGCATACAGTGGGAAGAGTGGATGGATGGGCGTTTCCTTCCATTTTCCCGGCGTCTTGGCGGTACTGCCGTTACACTCTTGTCTACGCTGCATTCGGCAGCTGGCAAAAAGGTTGGCCGTTTCGTCGTTAATTGAGACAGGAGGAGGCAATGACTGCCTCGGCCGTAATGACGAGGCCAGATCATAGAGTACCTTTGTTATGACATACCTGCTCGAATCGGTTGTCGAGATGTTAATTAATTAAAAGGTTCGACACTGAGGTGCTTTGGTTCGACGGTGTTCAGACTACCGAGACTGATTAATGCGCCGCGTTTCAATTGTCAGGGAAGCAGGGAAGCGATACAATTTCTGCAGCGTGCGGGGTGTTCCCTGATTGATTTTGTTCTGCCCCCGCATTCTCTTCTTTGCTGCAAGAAACTGTGGAACAAGACCACTACTGACCTGTTGGTCACAAAGTCGAAGTAGACTGCGCGCCCTTGCCCTGGATGGGTATGATCGTGTGAGCTTTCGTCTGTGAGGAAAACTTTCGTCGTGCGTGATGCTTAGCGGTATGCTTAAAAGAAAGCACGAACGGAAACTTGACACATTTCAACCTTTCTCGACGGCCCTCTCAAAGAAGTGGGCGCTCCGTGTTTTGCCGCGGCCATGATGATGGCAATCTCTCCCACGCGCGTTCGTGCCATGGAAGACACAAAACGCACCGAAACACCCGAACACCCTAACAAAACAACATAGCACATGAAGTCGGTCCAAAGAACTGAACCTACGCGATATTTTGCACCAGCTGGCTGGTGTGCTTACCGTCCTCACTGACTCTTTCGTCGAACTTGATTGTGTCTGCATGGATCTGTAGCCTAACGCACCGACTTGTACGTGACTGCGTATGTACCCGCGACCCCCCACCCTTGCCTGCATGGATGGTGTTGGGTTCTATCGTACATGGCATGATCTATGATGATATAGATTGTGTGGATGGTTGGACAACAGCAGGAATCTCGTGACTCGTGACACAAACGAACCCTACCGGCAAAGATATGGTTGGTGACTCAGTAGTCTATGCTACGCATGAACGGTGCCCCCAGGCTACCGTAGATTGCGGAGATTCATGAAGACGCAGCTCAAAAACAGAGTTCGAGGTGAGTCATTATTGTTGCCACGATCAACCCGTCCGCGCAAGGCAGCACACCGACAGCTCACTTCTTCATAACGCGCTTCACAGAGACCTAGCCGATGGAACGCAGAAACACAGTAGGAAGGGGGATGGCAAATGGGAGGCGAAGACGACGGCAATGTTGCCTGATCGGAGCCGCTTTTTTTGCTGCCGGCAGCGGCGGCGGTAACAGCGCCGTCTGCGCGTTTGGGTACGTGGGTGTTCTCTCTCAGCAGCAGTCGTCGAGCCGGTCGCTACGACCTGCGGGGGGCGGAAGGGGAGGAATCAGGCGGCCCAGGGTGCCATCTTCACCGGCACAAGAGAAAGCTCTCTTCGCGACGGCACGACGAAGAAATGCCTTCGTCGTGGAAGGAGGCGGGGCAAACCCAGTCACATCGTCGTCGACTGCGGACTGGAGAGACTTGACCAAGGAGGTGCGTTTGTGCGCGGGGGGGGGTCTGCGGGTGTGGCTGCGCCGTCTTTCGTTTCGGCTACTGCTGTGCTGCTGTGTCTCTATGAAGTTGGGAGGCTACGCAGGGTGCTTTCGTACTTTCCGGCGAGGGATGGCGAGCTTACAGACAGTCCGCGCATCATGTGCACCGCTACAATAATGAACTCTTGACTTGTACCACGCCCCGCAGAGCTGACTGTACACCACCCACGAGCATGTAAGAGTACGTTGAGTTGGTTTCGAGGCACAAGGAGAAACGATTTGTACAACACACGCCCATTATCACAGATAGACGACCCATTTGCACGGAACCACTACTATTGCACCCTTTCCGCTACGACCTCTCAAAATGCTAACAGTCACACGCACCCGCATTATGGATAAACTAATTGCAGGAGGAGACGGCGCTGTGCGAGCTGATAGTCGAAAACAGACGAATCCAGGACCTCCAGGTCGAGCTGGAACGGAAGGAGTCGAGACCGGTTACCGTACAGGAGTGGGCGGTCGCTGCGGGGCACCCGAGCGCTCACCAGCTCATGGCCGCGTTACAGGAGGGCAGGAAGGCCCAGCGGACCCTGGCGCTCTGCCACCAGGGCCTGGTGCGGAGCGTCGCCTACAGGTGCGTGGTGGAGGCGATGATGGGACGCCGGACCGCCGAAGGAGTCAACACGATCACATATCTTTTCGCTGACGGTTAAGACGCCGCCCTGCCCCACCACCCAACACTCTAGCCGAACAAATATGTACCTAGCGCTGGGGGTATATCTGTGTCACATTCAATGGCGATGCCATCCTGGAACGAGTGATCGTTAGGTACGATGTTTCACTTGTCAATGTACGGCTGACAGTGCCCCATCCAAACGAGCCACTCAATACTTGTTAGCGCGCCGCATCTTCGAAACGCGTGCCCCTCGAGTTGATCGAGATAAACATGCAACCTCGTTAACAACCCCACCCCGCGCAGTGAGTCCGCACATGACTAAACAGCGGTTTAGTCCCGTGATTCACGAACCCGGACCAAATCTATCACCCCTACTGAACTCCCACACTCGTTTTTGCTCTCTTGTCTCGTCTCGACGATTCTGCTTTCCCACTGGGCTGGCTACGACTGGCTGTCTTCAACCACCACTCAGATATAAGCAGGTGTCTCGGAACCTGTCCCTGGACGACCTCACCCAGGAGGGCAACGTAGGCCTCCTCCAGGCCGTCGAGAAGTTCGACCCGACCAAGGGCACCCGCTTCAGCTCGTACGCGGTTTTCCGCATCAAGGCCTCCGTCCTTCGCGCCATCGCCGACAAGGACCGCCTCGTCCGCGTCCCCGTGCACGCCCAGGACGCCGCCATGCGCATCCTGGCGGCCTCGCACGCCCTCCAGCTCGAGTCCGGCGGGGACGTGCCCACCGACGCCCAGCTGGCCGTCGCCCTGGGCATGCCCGAGGCCAGCGTTGCCCTCTACCGGAAGTCTCTGCTGCCCCAGAACATCGCGGACTTGGATAACTCCGCGCTGTCCGGCTCTCCGCAGGGGAGAGCTGCCGGAGGCGGTAGCCGGGGAGGGAGGGTGGGCGGGGAGCAGTGGCCGTGGGAAGCGTCTCAGCTCGCCCAGGCGTACGTGGTCCGGCGGGACATGATGAGGGCCATGCAGGCCTGCCTGTCTCCGACGGAGGAGAGGGCGCTGCGGCTGAGGTTTGGGCTGGGAGGGGCGGAGAAAGAGGGGGCCGCGGGGGGCGGCGGGGGCGCGCTGACCTTCAAGGAGATTGGGAGGACGATGGAGCTGAGCGCCGAGGGCATCCGGAAGATGGTGTTCCGGTCGATCGCGAAGCTGCAGGCCTCGGACGAGGCCAACGGCCTGCTGCTTGCCTACGCCGACCTGATTTGAGTCCTTCGTTCGTTCCATTTGTTCGGTGTCGAGAGAGGGATGGAGAGAGAGAGAGAGAGACAGAGAGAGAAAGAGAAAGAGAAAGAGGAAGAGAGGGCCGAGAGACAGCGCGGTGTCTTGCGCGACTCGCCCGTGTCGACAATTTTGCGTTATTTTGTGTCCATTGCGTTGTGGCTGAGCCTGTACCCTTGATTGTAAGCAAGGCACCTGGACGGTGGTATGTATGTGTGTGCGTACGTCATATGGTGTGTTCACCGGGTGATCCTCTTGATTGTACACATATCCCCGCTCGGTGGTGAGTTTGTGATGCTCACGTGTCGCGTGCAGCGCACCACTTGATTTTGTACGTTTTGTGGTTTGAAGGTGCGTTTATGTGGCCGGGGGGCAGAGCATGACCGCACGGAGCTTGGTGGGGAAAGGTTGGCAGCAATGGTGGGAAATGTTTTTTCCTTCCCGCCGCTCCTCGGTGGGAAGAGAGAAATATGCAAAAAGATGGATGAGGTCTGCATAATTCAAAACATGATGAACGTTGTCGATGTTGTCGACATCCGAGATCTGATGCTCCAAGCGCTCGAGAAAATGGGTTGTAACTCGTTTGCTCACACGGCGGAGCGTTGCTGAAGCGGTGTAATCGGCTCGCGGAATATGGGCACACCTATCGTGCAAACTTGAGCGCGAATCCGAATCCATCACGGTGTTGAGTCTTCGTTTTCCTGATTGAACGCAGTGGAGGAGGACAAACCAAACTGAACCATATCCACATGCTGAAACTCCGACCACCGTACGCCTAACACAAATCGTTTACTCTTCGAACTTGCCACATGTAACAAACTTCCTTTGGGATTTTCCCCTAAAATCATCTGGAAATACCGCGGAGCCTACACCCCGAGACGCGCTTGCTCCGCAACCACATAAGGGCGCCATAATAGGACACTCTACAAACCGAGTTCCCCTAAATCTTCCGTCTACAACTTCCCAATATAACATGCAGATAGATACACAAGATGGCTACCAAACTGCCTTGTTGAGCCTGTTACCCACAAGGGAGATATCGTTGTATGCTGTCTGGGAAACCGTACACATACAGGTAGCTTTCGCTCACGCTATGGATTCATTGCTAATCTATCTTACTTCTTTCTATTGATAGAGATGGTTTTGCTGTGTGATATTGAGAAGAACAAGAGTTGTGTGACCGATCCGACCGTTCCCACGGGTAAATGGGTTGTTGCTGGCTCGTGTTGAGGGTTTGACCTTTTCTTTTTTCTTGTCTCTCTTCACTTTTAGAACCAGTTTCGACGTGTTTTCTGTGTCACCACATGCGAGGCGAAACAAACGATTGGTCGTCGCCGACGTAGCGGGGTCCCTCTGGACGTTGCTTTCGGGTGTTGAAGGGTCAAACTAACAATCCACTATTCACGATTCCGACTTTCACGCCTACTACTCTCTGGCGTTAGCATGTGCCAGCTGCAACAGCTATCCACCGGCCGCCGAACATCTGCACTTAGGCATGTTGCTGCTGCATCGCCCAAAGCAGCAGCCTGTCTCCAGCGGGCGCACATTGGCATAGTTACCGCCAGCGCCGTCGTGGACTACAAGGCCGCGCTACGTGCGTTCAACCGGCACCCGAGTAAACCGACGAACATTATGCTCTTTGCAAAGATAACAAGTCGTTGCGTTCGCGTCCCGGACAGAAAAATGTCTTAATAAGAGAAGCTGCTACAAGTACTTACAGGCCTGGACGGACGGCAGACCACCTACGTCATGAGATGCGCGTCGAGAACCGGGGGGACTATTTATAGGCGCCGAATTAAGTTTCTTTCCATTCTAATGAATTCCATTCCTCTCCATTCCACTTCTTCCATTACGTATTTACAAAAGATTCGAGACAGAATTAGGCGGTCAAACGAAAAAACTCCAGAAACGCCTGGGCGTGCCTCGACTCTTTTCTCTTTGACACCCACAGAACAGCACCCGACCACACGACCACGCAGCTGCGCAACCTAACGGCGGCTTCCCAAGTCACCCAATCCTGCCGCCCTCACACGCTTCCCTCTTACCACCTTCGAAAGAGATCCGAACATGATGCACGGTAAAGCAAACTGCCCGTCCCCGTCACTCGACCGTGCATGCATTTCTATAGGCCGGCCCACACGCCCAACAAAAACACTTCAAAATCGCGCAGCAACTTATGTACAATAAGAAAAGGAAGGGGCCGTCACCAACGGCCGTATCAGTATTTTGGTAGATACCTTCCTTTTCAAATGAAACTTAATCCGACAAGAACTGGGCGCGCGCACAGGCGGTGCCTGTCCAGACAAGGGTCAAACCGCCAAAATGAACGAAGTAACCACCACCAATCTCCTGTTTTGAAGGCCCAAACACCAGCGAGCGGGCGCGGACCACGGCAGCGGCTGAGGCGGCACCGTCGTGTGGTAGTGCTTGGGAGGAGGGGGCTCTTCGAACGAACCCAATAATGATGAGGGAGACACGCACCAAAATCAATTTGAGCCGCAGGGGCGGAGGGGGGATGTCGCACTTATCACCCCAAGAGCCCACAAGCTTCTTGACCCAACGGGGCTAGACACGCCAAAAATCTCGCAATTCTAGGGACAAGACGCGCCAAAACTCTCGTGTTCTAGGGACTAGACTATTTCGGATACATGACAACGCCGGATCCCACACGCGAACAAAAGCTTGGTCACAAGCTCAAGGCGGGCGTGGCAACTCATCGCTGACCACGCACAGCATTCAATCGGCGTGGAAACACCAGAAAGCTCCAAGCAACAGAGCCTCGCGGAAGCGAAGGCTTTCAAGCAAGGTCCAGAACGCCGACGAACGCGCACAAAAAAAAAGAGGAGCAAACGGCAGGTCGATCTAGTTCCCTCTATCACCGTCACTGCCATCGGCGTCCGGGAACGTCTTGTGCAGGAGGAGATGGCGCTGTCCGATAAAGCCGCCCGAGAGGCCGAGACTGTTTGTGAAGGCTCGGTTCGAAGCGCCATTCGGCGCCTCTTCGTAGCCGCACCTCGCGTAAAGCCGCAAGGCTGCCTGGTTGATCTCGTTTACGTGAAGAAACACCTGTAACATAAGTCGAGGAGGTGGGGGGGGGGGGGGGGGGGGGNGGGGGGGGGGGGGGGGGGGGGGGGGGGGGGGGGGGAAGACGGTGAGTCGTGTGGCTTGTTTTGCCGGAAGCACGGACAAATACACACAACTGCAGGCAAACACGCCTCAACACCACAAAAAAACAACAAACGCACAAGTCAACGTTCGTAAAACTCATGGTGGGCGAACTCGAAGTATATCAGAACAAAGCGACATGCAACTTCCCGCCGTAGCTCTTTCCGCCCCTGGCAAGGTGTGGCACGTTTACCAGGGTAAGCAAGCCAACCCTTGCTCGACGCTTCTGTGTCTTACCCAACCTGCCAAACTCGACCACCCCTTCGCATCCCGTCCGCAGTTCTGACGTACTTCGACTTCCCCCACCATGAATTTTGCGAACGTTAACTTGTGCAGGAAATATACCCAAGCACGCCAGTAGCCTTCTCATGCTTTTCGATGAAGCAAACATGTTGGACAAAGAATGCAATCGGGGAAGATGGGTTAGGATTAGCCCTAGGGCTGCAGGGTCTGCGTACCCTCTCCCTCCTTATATTCCCCTCCCCCCCAAACGCTCCCCTTCCCCGGTGTTTGCCATCGGGGTTGGGTTTTCGTCGCTTGGCAACGACGTTGTAAAACAAGCCAATTCACTTCGTGAACTCGGCAACCAGGTTACCGTTTTTTTTTTCTTCCTCCGGTTTTTTTTGGCGGTAACCATAATGGTGTTCGAGTAGATCATGTTGTGCGGGGTGGAGAACCCTCGCTCCGCGCGAGGGGGATGATCGCATCACGTTGTGTTAAAATGGTCACGCACCCTCGAGGCAGTTACACAGTGCTTACAACTGTCTCTGGAAGTGAAAGCACCAGAAAATAAATTAAGTCATACGCAGCTGTCATCCGTATGCAAGGAAGTAAGCACAAGATGCCGAACACCCTTAGCAGGATGCAGCGCACCCTTCATGCGACTCGCCGAATATCTCACGGCGCTTCGCGCTTGGTGATGTGAGAGCCTGGTCCGGTGAGAACCCGGCGTGCTCCGTCCCGGCTTTGTAGGGATGCGAGGTCAATGGTCTAAGGACTACGGCATGCACGACTATGAGTACACCCCCCCCTCTCCCCTCCCCTTCCCCGGTGCTTGCCATCGGGGTTGGGTTTTCGTCGCTTGGCAAAGACGCTGTAAAACAAGCCGCCCCACTTCGTGAACTCGGCAACCAGGTTACCG